GGGGCTAACTGGGAGCACTGGGACAGGACACTGGGGACACTCTGGGGACACTGGGGGGGCACTGGGGGTAACTGGGAGCACTGGGATGGGACACTGGGGACACTCTGGGGACTCTGGGGACACTCGGTGGACACTGGGGTTAACTGGGAGCACTTTGGGGACACTTTGGGGACACTGGGGGTAACTGGGAAGGGACACTGGGAACACTGGGGACACTGGGGATGCTTTGGTGACACTCTGGGGACACTTTGGGACACTCTGGGGCCCTGCAGGGGTGGCAGAGCGGGGCTGGGGTGGGGGTGGGGCTGATAACGCTTATCAGGAGCCCCCAGATGGCCCCGGGTGGGGACACCGGGCTCGGTGTCACCTCCCTGCCCCGGTGTCACCTCCCTGCCAGGGTGTCACCCTTTAGGTCCTGTCACCAGTGACGGGGGTGACATGAGGGCCCTGTCACCAGTGGTGGGGGGGTGGGGGGGGGGGTGTGACACTGAGTCTGTGTCACCCCCAGGGTCCTTGTCACCCCGGGGCTGGCCATGTCACCCATGGGGTCCTTGTCACCAGTGTGGGGGTGCTGACATCAGCCCCGTGTCCCCCCGGGGGTGGCTGTGACACCCACAGGGTCCTTGTCACCAGTGAGGGGGTGACATTGAGTCCTTGTCACCAGTGTGGAGGTGACATCAGCCCCGTGTCCCCCCGGGGGTGGCTGTGACACCCACAGGGTCCTTGTCACCAGTGTGGGGGTGACACTGAGTCCTTGTCACCAGTGTGGAGGTGACATCAGCCCCGTGTCCCCCCGGGGGTGGCCGTGTCACCCATGGTGTCCTTGTCACCCTGGAGGTGGCTGTGTCACCCACAGGGTCCTTGTCACCAATGAGAGGGGTGACATTGAGTCTGTGTCACCAGTGTGGGGGTGACATTGAGTCCTTGTCACCTGTGAGGGGGTGACATCACTCCCCGGGGGTGGCCGTGTCACCCATGGGGTCCTTGTCACCAGTGGGGGGTGACATCAGCCCCGTGTCCCCCCGGGGGTGGCCGTGTCACGCCCACTCCTCCTCACCGCCGCTGTCCTCGCCGCTGTCCGTGTCCCTGTCCCCCTCGGTGTCCGTGTCCCTGTCCCCCTCGGTGTCCGTGTCCCTGTCCCCGTCGCTGTCCCCGCTGTCCCCGTGGTGCCCGGGCGAGCCGAGGCACAGCCGCCAGCGCCGCGGCAGGGTGCCGGGGCAGCGCAGCGTCACCCGCACGTGGCCGTGTCCCGGGCCATGTCCCCGGCCGTGTCCCGGGCCGTGTCCTGGGCCGTGTCCCGGGCCGTGTCCCGGACCGTGTCCCTGGCCGTGTCCCGGGCCGTGTCCCGGGCCGTGTCCCCGGCCGTGTCCCGGGCTGTGTCCCGGGCCGTGTCCTGGGCCGTGTCCCGGGCCGTGTCCCCGGCCGTGTCCCGGGCCGTGTCCCCAGCTGTGTCCCGGGCCATGTCCTGGGCCGTGTCCCCGGCCGTGTCCCGGGCCGTGTCCCCGGCTGTCCCTACGGAGGTGGCACCGCGCGGGGAAGAAGCGCAGCAGCGTCCGCAGGGTGGCCGGGCCGCCCGGGGCCGGCAGGCGCAGCGCGGCCAGCAGCTGGGGCCCGCCGGCACCAGCACCGGCACCGGCACCGGCACCGGCACCGGGCGGGCACAGCTCCCGCAGCAGCGCGGCCAGGCGGGCCGCGGAGCCTGGGCACGGCCCCACGTACCGCTCCAGCCCGTCCAGCAGCACCAGCGGCGGCGGGGACACCGAGCGGGACGGGCACGGGGACAGCGACAGCAGCTCCCGGCACAGGGACAGCCGCGTGCGGGGGTAGCGCAGCTCCAGGCGCTGCGGGACGGCGACAGGGGGGACACGGGGACAGAGGGGACAGGGATGGGACAGAGGGGACAGGGATGGGGACAGGGACAGGGACAGGGATGGGACAGGGATGGGACAGGGATGGGGACAGGACAGGGACAGGGACACAGGGACAGGGACACAGGGACAGAGGGGATAGGGATGGGACAGAGGGGACAGGGACAGGACAGGGACAGGGACAGGGACACGGGGACAGAGGGGACAGGGATGGGGACAGAGGGCACAGGGACAGGGAAAGGGACACAGGGACAGGGACACGGGGACAGAGGGGACAGGGAAACAGGGACAGGAATGGGGACAGGGACAGGAACAGGACAGGGACACAGGGACAGGGACACGGGGACAGAGGGGACACAGATGGGACAGAGGGGACAGGGACAGGGATGGGACAGGGATGGGGATGGAACCGGGACAGGGACACAGGGACGGGGACACAGGGACAGGGACACAGGGACAGGGACACGGATGGGACAGAGGGGACAGGGACAGGGATGGGGACAGAGGGAATAGGGACAGGGATGGGACAGGGATGGAACAGGGGACAGGGACACAGGGACAGGGATGGGACAGGGATGGGACAGAGAGAGGGACAGAGAGGACGGAGGGGACAGAGGGGACAGGGACAGGGACAAACGGGACAGTGGGGACAAGGGGGCAAGGGGGAGGGGACAAAAGGGACAGAGGGGACAAGAGTCAGGCCGGACCCCCAAAGCCTCCCACACCCCAAACCCCGCCCGCACGCATAGCCCCGCCCACCAGCGCGACATGACCACGCCCCCTTCCAGACCACGCCCTCTGGCCATGACCGCACCTATGGGAGAATATATTCACACAAAGCCACGCCCACATAGAGTAAACCCCGCCCCCTCATCAAGCCACGCCCAATCGCGGCCCCTCAGCAAGCCACGCCCCCAGAAAAGCCACGCCCCTCACCAAAGCCACGCCCATTCACCAAGCCACGCCCTATCGCGGCCCCAGCAAACTACGCCCCCTCCAGCAAGCCACGCCTCCCCATTATAGCGGTTCCTCAGCAAGCCCCGCCGCTCCCGGGCCCCTCCCGCTTCCCGGCCCCGCTGACCTGCAGCGCGCGCGGGTCGGTGCCGGCCCCGCCGGGGCCTCCCGGGAGCCGCGGGAGGGCGCTGGGCGCCAGGAACAGCGCGCGGGGCCCGTCCGCGCCGCCCGCCAGCGCCGCCCGCAGCAGCAGCGAGGTGCGGCCCGAGCCCGCCGGGCCCAGCAGCAGCACCGGCAGCGGCGGCAGCGCCGGCCCCGAGCCGCGCCCCGCCGCCGCCGGGCCCAGCGCCCGCTCCAGCGCCGCCGCCATGGCCGGCGG